TAAGAAGGAAACTAAAAGACCAGAACACATCCTCTCCAGCAGCCAACACCCAGATAAACAGGGATTAACACCAGGCAAACCATCAAGTGGTAAACGACAGCCTAATCAAGGAACCACCAAGTGGGAAACCACACCCCCACCAACACTGGCAGGGTAAGCTACTGTATATTAACAGGGAGCAAACCCCACTCCCTTCTAGCACTGATGATGTGACCTAGTTGGGTAACGAAACGTCTGCCAGCCAATCGCCCAGCTCACCAAGGACTCCACAGTTCAACCCTGAGCTATAGAGATTCTCTTCTATTGCTTTTGCTACATCGTACATTTTCCAGACGTGCGTGGTTCTTTTCTCCCTTGGTTCTGTGGTTCTATTTTAATTGTAAGCTGCCCAGAGTTGCCAGGACTTGGGTGGCCTCTAATTCCAATAAATAAATAAACAGAAATCAACGAGCTGCTTATCAAATATGCAGATGACCTAAAACGGGAGGGTCTGGCCAACACCCAAGATGACAGAATGAAATTGCAACCTATGTGGCCAGAAGATGCTCTGCTATGCAATACTCTTCATTTTCACTGCAATGCACATGAGATTGTGCTACAAATGGGAAGCAGAACTCACAAGAACTGACAAATTCCTCTGCATTAATATAAAAAGCATTTGGGAATATGGAAAATGAACCCCAGAGCATCCCATCCCCTTCGTAAGACTGGGAGGCCTTTACTCCACCCTCTACCTATCACAGCCCTATAGGGAGGTCTCCTTCCCCAATGCCAGCAGTGCCCCACTTACTTTTCCAGGAGAGACATGATGATGGGAGGCAGAACCAGGATCGGCATCGGCAGAACCACTCTGGTGAGCGCCGTCTCCAGGAGGGCCTGCGGGAAACACGGTGGAGAGTCGCTTCAGATCCCTCGGTTGCCCTCCTATCCCAGGAACTCCGGGGCTCTGAGCGTGGTGGGCAGACAGCCCGCTCTCACGCGCTACGAGGAAGAGGCCCTGCGGGGTTTCTTCCAGCCTAGGCTGAGTCAGTCTCACACCCCACGGCTCACAGAAATGGTTCATGCGTCACATTGTGACAGGGAGCTGCTTGGTTCACTCTCGGAAGGGCTGTAGCGGCTTGCAGCCAAGGAAGCCATGCAGAGGACGCGTCTGCTGGAAGCACAACTTGGAGGAACGCTGGCCTGAGAACAGCGTGGTTGTGCAAAGTGGCCTTCCTCAGGCTACTGCCCGCCCCCATGACTTTGGCACGTGTTGCTGGGCATTTCCTTGCCTACCGGGAAGAGGGTTGAAGGATATAATCGAGGGCGACCCCGACCTCTGACCCACCATCCCTCCTGATGCCAGCGCTGCAGTCTGCGAAGGTGCCCTCAAAGTACCCACCCGCATTCTGAGCAGCCTCAGAAAGCCTTCTGGGCTGCTACCTGCATTGCGACGGGAGGTGTTTCACCTCCCCGGGAGCTCGGGGCCTTCTGATCATCTGCCCTGCCCTTCTGGGTCTCCCACACCTGCCCCCTTCTATCCTTTGCGAAAGTGTGGAGGAAACTAAGGCCACCCCTCTATGTTCCAGAGTGGCCAGCAGAGGCAGGAGCAGGAGGAGCCAGGGGCAGCAACTATGGTGCAAAATGGGACTGCAGGGCTCAGATCTTGCGGGCCGGTCAATTCAAAATGAAAAGCAGCTTAAGCAGCCAGTTTTGAACAAGGGGCCGTGGGGGGGGCAGGCCTGACCCTGCACTGGATGGTTTAACTTCCAAAAGGATGATGGTAGGGGCCAGCCCTCTTCCCAGGCACGCTCTGCCAGCCGGAACCATGTTCTCTTTTGGATGGTGTGAAATACAGTGACGACGCAGCCACACCTATCAGTTACACAACACGTTGAGTGGGGCTTTGTGTCAGTTATCTTGGCAAAGAGCTGCTCAGAGAAAGAAAGAACCAGAGTACTGTGCAGATGGGGGCAGATGGCAGGGCTGAAGGGGGCGGGGAGACCCAGACAGGTGTTAGTGGGAGTCAGAAAACATCTGGAGCATCTTCCTACAGGCATGGCTGGCAATTGCTAACGAATGCCAGTCAGGGGGAGTTAAAAAACCTCCCTGCCTGCCTGTCTGCCACCCCACGATCGGGCACCCTGACCCTTCCCTCTCATAGGGCAACTGCGGAGGGAACCCCAGAAGTGCCCAAGGGCCTTCGCCCATTCCCCCCTGCTTGCAGAGTTTAGGAGTCCCCCAAACACACGGGCCACCGGAAGGCGCTGCCACAGCCAGGCGCAGGCTTCCTCCTGCCTGCCCGTGGGAGGAATTCACAGGGAGGCCAAAGTGGTGGGTATCCTTCCCTCGCTCCCTGAGTGGCAAAGACCCAGCCAGCCTGCAAAGAGGAAGGGGCCGCTTTGTAAAGCCTCGAGGGCTAGCAGCAAGATGGCAGCGCAATAGGAACTCTTTTGGCCCAAGGCGGTCTGGCCTCTGCATGCCCACCACGTGGCGGTGCCTGACCCTGGTGGGACTCTCCTTCCCCCACAGCCCAGCCGAAAGCAGCAAGCCTGGAGCCCCAGGCAGGCACATACATGTCTGGCAGCGATCCTGGAAGATCCAACCACGTTCCCCTCCCCGTCCAGGACGTCAATCCCTTCTTCCAGTTCTGTGTGCCTCATCAGGACCACGTTGCAAATGTTGGCGCTTGCTGTGGAGGAAGGAGAGGAGGAGCTGAAAAACCCATGCTCTGAACCCCCCCCCCCCGCCTGGTCCTGGGTGAAATTGCATTTACTGGGGAGACAGGGAATGATGTGACAGCCTGGCTAAGCCCCCTCCAAGTCCCATGCTAATAGGACCTTCTGCAGCTGTTGGACTGCCCCGCAGGGGGACCTTGTCACCCCCTTTCCCCACATTAACCCCCTTTCCCCAAAAGCCACCCTGATGCCAGAACGTCAAGGCTCTCAGAGAGTCATTCCTTCCAGGCCTTGCCGCTTCCGCCCCCCTTGGTGTCTCTTCTTCCCCTGAGGAGAGAGCATCTCAGGCATCCTCAGGCCTGTACGACAGAGGCCAGTCCTCCAGGGAGCCGAGGCCCAGGGCCACCCGCGGCCCAAGCCGTGGCTTCTCCTGAAGCAGCAGAGCGAAGGTATGGGCCGAGGCCTCCCTTCACTGAGCCCCCTCTGGCTGGCACACTTTTGCACAAATGCATGGGGGGGGGTCACTCCTTGCCCAGGTTGCCCAGGGCTCTGAGGCAAAATGCTTTGCCTGCCGGAAAACGCAGCGGTAGCAGTAGCAGGACGGACAGAGTCCTGACACACACTTTCCAGAGCCGGGATAAGCCAATAACAGGAAGCAGAGGATTAATTATGAGCTGGGCAAACTAATTACAAGTCCCCTCAATGAGTTTCGACCCCAGCTTAACCTTCCCTTCAGGCCTTGGCATGATAATGGAAGGACCAGCCCAACCGGTCGTCTTTTCCCTCTTGCTGCTCAGTTGGCCTTTGAGACCGATGGGCTTAGCCCAGATCGGGAACCACGTTTGACTCATCCTGAAAAGTCTTGTTTCAACTCCACTCCAGGGAGGGACTGAAATCTTTGCAGTGGGGAATAATAATAATAACAGCAACAACATCTGCCTCTCCCAGGTCCTTGGAAGGACTCGACAGGTGGATAAAGATGCCAAATCCAGTCTAAGCACCTGGCTGACTCTACAACCCACCATCATAATGTATTAAAAGTATATGCCACCTGACTCCCAACGGCTCACTCAGGTGTTGTGCCTCTCAGCCCAGGGAACCACTTGCCACTGTCTTCCCTCCTGCGTCATCCAGGGGCTTCTGCCCACATCACACTCCCCCTTGCTGACTTTCTCCTCCCCTCCCCATTCTTCTGGGGTGTCAGGAGAAGCGCCATGGGCCACAGCTCAGAGCCCTCCCTTGCTCTTTTCCGTGGTGCTGCCAGACAGTTAGGAGGGCAGAGAAATACCTACATGTGCTCTTGCCAGGCTCTGCCCCTCCTTCAGGGGCCAGGCTGTTCCCTAAAGCTTCACTGACAAGAGCCTGCCTTGGGCCCCCCTTTCTGCCAGGCCCTTCTCCACCAGCCTGGGCCATGGAGGCCAGTCGAGGGGCCTGGGTTGCACACTCTTCGCACTGCCCAACAGTCACCCCGTCTCGGAATCCACCCCCTTCAGGTTTCTCTCAGTACCCTGGACCTTAAACTCCCCCAGCGGGCTGAGCTGGGATGACAAGCACTGCCACATTGAGCCGAACGGGCTCAAGCTGAGCTCGATGCAAGGGGGCTTTGGCAAAACCTTCACCCGACCTGGCTGTGTGTGTTCTGTGGACAGAGCCCTCCATCATCTTGGCATCCTTGGCCCCCTGGGGCCCACAGCTGCACCTAGGGGCAGCCCCTGCTACCAGGAGCCGCACAGATCCCGTGTCCGCAAAGGGGAGGGGAGAATGGGGACTCCTTTCTCTGGACAGAAAAGGGGTGGGGAAGGGCTGGGGCGCAGCCATGCCAGGTTGTCCCTGCTCCATGCCTGTCCTCATGCCCTGGAGGACAAGCCTGGGAGACGCTCAGTCTGGATGCCCAGAGGGCCAGGCACCACAAGCTCATGGAAAAGCAGCCAGCAGGGGTTGCCTTTAACGACCCCTGCAAACGCGCAGGGCTGGGTCTCAAGAGCACAGCACGCCCCCATGTGATTTCAAGGGAGTGCCTTTGATCATGCGGCGCCCCTCTGCTCACACCAGTAGCACCTTCTGCGGGGCCTGGGGGGACGCCCAGCCCCCCAAGGCTGCAGACCTTCCTCTGCAGGCAGCTGGCCTGTGCCGCCCTCCAGCCTGAAGGCCGCGAGCAGTGTTGGCCCCAGGACCTCAGCAGCACCAGCCTGCAGGGGAAGGGCGGGGGGGGCGTGTCTCACCTACAGCAGGGAATGGCACAAATCTCTGGATCAGGAGCCGGGTGGCTGGGCTAAACTGGTTTGCTCGCTGGATCAGAACGTTGAGGCCCACCTGCAGGGAGAGCAAGCAGAGGGAGGTCAGGGGGCTGAGCCCCTCCCGCACCAGGTGTCAGAGGGCAATGAAGTCAGTCCAAGCCCCTCTCTCAAGAGTGACCCGTGGAACCAGGGACCCAGAGGGGCGGTGGACTCCTTTTCTGGAGGCTCCGGAGGAGATGCTCTAACTGGCTTTCTGCATGGAGGTCAAGGGCCTCTCCAGCCCTGGGAGAGCAGGGAAAGCGATGCCAAGCTATGCCCACCCTTGGTTCGCCCTAACCCCCTTTCCTCTCCCTTCTCCGAGTTTTGCCAGGATAAAGGAGGCAAAAGAAAGGGGAAGTACTTAGAACTGATCAGCGCTAGAAAAACAAAGCAAGAATTTGTTTGCGTTACAAATGTAACACAAATTATATACTGTAGAGAAATTACTCAAAGGAAATACTGTTACAGAAGATATGCATACATAAATGTCCAAATGGAACATAGTCCCCAAATTCCTGAGCTTAATTTAGTAATTTTCCTACAGCACATAATGTTTATTTTGTTCACACTGGAGATAAGAGGAGAAAAACCCTGACCCATCTTCCTGTGCCAGGAAGTGACCGGACACACCAGGATTGATAAAACTGATTTTGGCAAAAGTCTGAGCGCTCTGCATGTGCTCTTGGTATGGAAGGTATTTCTTCACAAAGGTAAAAGGAGGTCCCTTGACTGTGAGTAGCACAGCCCTGGAACTCAGCGATGCTTCTGGTCATAACTCAAGATGGTCTTTTTATCTGTATATTTATAAAGTTGGAGCTATTGCCCCCTCTCTCTTACCAACTGGGGGTGGGGGGAGGGAAATCTGGATACCAAGGCCGCAAAGGTGAATCAGAACAGGGGGGAGCTGAGGTTCATTACCCTTTTCCCCTTGGGTTCTCCTGTGTTGTGGGGGGAGGCAGCAAAGCTGCAGAATGGAGGGCCTGGAGATGCCCTGCCCCGGGGGACAGAGGCCTTTGCCTCTGCTAACCGATTGCCAGCTCCTGTGCCAACGGGCAGGAGTCCAAGCAAAGGGGCTGGATTCTACCCTGAAATTGGGAGGAACCTTTTTTACCAAATCGGGCTGGAAAGCCTCCAAGCTGGTGTTTACTCTTTGCTCCGTTTCTCTAGCACTGACAGTCTCTGAATTGTACAAAGCAGAGCCTCACCCCCTTTCTCTCACCCACGGCTGCCTGTTTCTTCTCTCCCAATTCCCCCCACCCACCAGCTTCCCTCTGCTAAATGTTCCTCAACCCAATGCAAACCCTCCTCTCGTCGCCTTCCTGGAAACTGTTCCAAACCTGGTGGGCTGCAAGAGCAAAACTAGAAAGGCGCTGGAGCCCCCCAAAGCCAGGAAGTGAGAAAGGGCCCTCCTGAGATTCAGTCGTGCCCATGCAATGGGCCAGAGCGAGCGTGAATCACGGGCACCGTGTTTAAACAGACGCCACGGTCTCCAGATCAATACTCACATAAGCCACATGTCCACAGTCCCACAAGGCCTCGATGACCAAGCCTGCTCTGAATGTAACATTATGTCGGACACCTTTCAAGGAACTAAGCTTAGGAACGGTTTAATTCTACTTCTTTGCCTCCTCCTGCAAGGCCAGAGCCATTGGTCCTCCCAGAAGAGAGGCAGGAAAACAGCTGAGGGGACCCAGAAGCCCCCCACCACTTCCGTTCCCAAGGCAGAGGGAAGGGCTTACTGGTGTGGCGAGGCCTTGTGCCCGGTGGGTGACTCTGAGCTGGAGAAGAAGGCTGCCGCCCCTTCTTTCTGCAGGACCTGGGGCTTGAGGCAGAGCACCTGCTCACCTGGGCCAGGTCTCAGGGTTCCCTTGCGGAGTTAAGTGGCCAACAGAGCGGAGGCCGGTGGGTGGCTGCCTGCTCCATCACAAACTGCTGATGGGTGATTCACAGACTATCAACGCAGCTGCAGCAGCTCCTCGCAGACAATTATCAAGGCGGGCAGCCAGGCTAGAGAAAGCCGCGGGGACACCTTCGCCTAGACGGGGGGCGGAAAATGGTGTCGCTGCGAGGGGGAGCAGGGCAGGTGGCAGGCGGTGGGGGCAGGGAAGGAGGGAAGATGAGGACCTGGCAGGGAATTAACGAAGGAGCCGCGTCCCTGGGACAGAAGATGGGGCTACTTGTTGCCAGAGCTCTGCAGACTCATTTCCAGCATCTCTGTGGCCGGTCTACCTGCCCGTTTGAGCCAAGGGTTTGCAGTCAAGCTTTCCAGAACAGGAGAGACAACCTGCCCAGTTCCATGAGATCTTGTGAGCGATTGCCTTCAAAATGGCCCACGTTCCCAAGATAAACCAATGAGGCAGACTCCGCCTTTACCGGGTAAGGCTGAAGCCAGAATAACTAAGCTTGCTTACAGAACCACACAGCTGGCGAGGGAATCCCACCCTACCACCTGCTCAGGAAGGAATCTGAATGAAAGGTGCTTCGCTTTAATTTCGAGCTCATCCCGTGAAAGGGAGCCTCCATCTCCTTGATCATCGGTCCCAGTCTTGCAGATTTGACCAGAATCTCCTCTATCTTAACGGTTTGCTCCCAGGCCTCTTCTGCTCTTTCCCCCTTCTGCTACCGTAAATCCTATTTATCTTTGCTCTGAGTTTATTCAAATCTGATTTCTTGAAGTCCGTGGCATGTCTGATTACCTTTAATTTCCCTGAACACTAAGCAGTTTCCCTCAAAGTGTCCGCTTCTTCCATGTCCATGATTCAGCCGTACTTATTGGCTGATTCTGTGGTCAAGAACAGGGGATCCTCCACCCCTGGAGGAACACGCTACGGGGCAGCCCAGGGATCTCCCGGAGGGATCGCGCCTGGCAGATGCTGGGCTGCTTAAAGCCCCTCCGGCTGCTCCCGTCCCTGCCCTTTGGGAGCCGGTCACTCCAAAGGCTTCAGGGCAAGATCTTCTCACCACCAGGGAGCCCCCGGGGGCCAAAGCCAAAGAGGGGCTTCTTGGCCCCCCAGGTACAAGAGGGGAAAGAAGCAACAAAGGGTTACCCACCGCTATCGAGACAGCACTGACGACTGCTCCCAGGTAGCCCTGGATGAACTTGGAGGTCGGCGACGGCTTGGGGAAGAAAGGAAAATATCACAAGCAGGAAAACCAGCACACTGTGTGTGTGTGTGTGTGTGTGTGTGGCTAAAGGAGGACTGAAGGGAAACCGGGGTGCTTCTGGGATGCTGCGCCTGGCCTCCAGAGGTATGGGGGAGGCGCTAGGGCCCTCTCAGGCAGGAGAGGAGCCGTCCCCCCCAGCGTGGCTCAGGAGCAGAGTAGGGGAAAGCAAGCCCCCCTGCCCTTCGTTTGCAGCCCCTGAGACTCCCCTGCCAAATGGGCCAGCTGTGCACAGCGTGGTCTTTTCTCTAGAAAATGCGAAGGGGAGCCGGCGCCTCTGGGCAGCAGGCGGTTCTCTCCTCACCTTTAATAACGCCCCCCATTCCCCAGCACTGAAATGTGAATATTTTTCTGCTGGGCTTCAACTGTGCAGGAGTTCTGAAGGCCCCCCAGAGGGCTCACCCCATTTCCCCCACAGGATGAAAATGAGCCCACCCCAAAAGATTCAGGGGGCCTGATGCCCGAAAGGCGGGCCAGCGGGCCATGCCTGGGGTGAAACCCAAACTGCCTGGGTTGCAGAGGACCCAACGCTGGTTGGCAGAGTTCCGGATCTGTTCAGATGACTGCTGGCCAGAGATCCTGATCCTTTCGGCATGCAGCTGGGAGCTCTGGGGCTGGAGCCTCAGCAGAGCTGGAGGCCCCAGGCAGGGAAGGCTGACTTCCACTGCCTCGCAAGCCTGTCTTTGGGCTTATGGACCAGTTGCAGCTCCAACACCTGGACGGTGGGCCCCCTTCAAGGAGGAGTGGGCAGTCCCAGGCTGGCACCTCCAGGGCAGCATGGCTGACAATGTGGCAGGAGGCTGCTGACCTTCCCGGAGGCACGCACAGAAGCTGTGCCAGAGCCCCAGAGGTTGGCAGGAGGGGCCTGGCACGAAGCCCTCGCCAAGAGCTGGCATCTGCAACTCAGTGCCAGGGCCAAGCCAGGTGTGGGGCAGCGTGTGCTGACCAGTCCGGGTCCACTGGAGCTCTCCCACCCATCCCAGGAGGATGAGCCGGGGCGGGGGAATCAAGCTAGAAGGTCTGCTGTGCCCTGTTATGGAAAACAATCCTTACCTTTGTTGCGTTTCGGTTTGCATAGTTGACACAGGCATTGTGGCTCTGATTCAACCACTAAGGACAAGAGAAAAGAAACAGGGACAAACCGCTGGTTAAAAGGCAGCGTGCGAGAGAGTGTGAGTGCACGCGACTGACGGGCCCCGGTAGCAGAATTGCTGCAAAAGAAGAGCAGAGCGAACATGCCGGAAAGCAGCCATTCCAATTATGCCTCCCGCCAGCAAGGAAAGTGTTTTGTTATCCAGTCCAGGCAATGCTGTTTCGTGTCTGTGAGTGAACAGGCCCTACAGAGAGGCACTAAAGGCCCAAGCGTCACCATTCTCTCTCTCTGGCCACTCACGCACACACGCACGCACGACGGACGATCCTCTTGCCTCCCTGCTTTTCCAGATCTAACTGGGGCCTGGTTGCAGTGGGGGTGGTGGTTCGTAGCCAGATGGGAGGCCTCCAGGAAACCAGGGCCATGGCCTAGACTGTCAAACAGAAGGGATGGCAAAAGCTGTCCAGGCTACGGCTGGGAAGCCCCAGGAGTCCAGCTGAACTGGAAGGAGGCCACCTCCTTAGCTTGGCCCTGAGGAGAAAGCCCCCAGTGCAAAACCAGCTTTGGGAAGGCTTTGATTCTGAGCTTGGAGAGTTGGTTCTGCTGCTTACTTTGATCTGCGCTGCTCCAAAGGGGGCAAGGAGGTGGCAAACTCTGGGGTGGGCCCCCTGCCTCCACCCCAGGGCACCGCTTTGTCCACATGGCTGTTGCAAGCTCCCCACCAGCGGCAGATGGGGACTGGCGACTGAGTGGGGAGCTTCTGCGGGGAGGAGGTGTCCTGCCACTGAGCTAGGGCTGAGCCCGCTCTCCCGGACCCCTCCGTTGCCCAGTCCAAGGAGCCCAATCCTTGGGGGCTCCCCTAGGCCTACCTGGACATAAGGGCCTGACCTGGCGAGGCCTCTTCCTGCAAAGCGGGAGCTCTACCACTGAATTACCCAGGCTGCCTTGCAGGGGCCTGGGCAGGGGGGACAGTGCCAGCCTCCGTGGGCTCTCCGGGGCCTGTCTCCAACTCGGTTCATGCTCTGTCTGCAAAGGGAGAGACGATTCAGTGGCCTCCTCCAGGCCGCCGACCCCTCCTCCTCTGGGGCCCCAAGTCCCAGGGACCAGCCCGCCTCCCTCCCACGACTGGCATTGGAAGCGGGGATGGGCACGCTCCAGCTCTGCTCTCTTCCTCCTTCCTTGGGAGTTTTCCAGGGAAAGGCTGGTGCCTGCTGTTCCAGCTGTGGACGGCCCTGATATGGGGGCAGGGGGAATGTGTGCGTGTCCCTGAGCAGCCTGGCACTGGCCACTGCTCTCCCCAGCTGGCTGGCGCTGAGCTGAGCTGAGCTGCGCTGGGGCGCTTACCTCCGCTGGACCCTGACATGACCTCCTACTAAAAGTGGCCGTGCAGCGGCTGCTCTGTTCCTCTCCAGCTGCCGGGCAGAACCTGGGAAAGGAGGCTTTGCTGAGAGCAGAGAAGAAGGCAAGGAAGAGAGAGAGAGAGAGAGAGAGAGAGTCAGAGAAGAGGGAGGGAAGGAGCAGGAAATGCAAGGCGGGAAGGAAGGCAAGCGGCGAGAAAGGTGGGCAAAGCCATGTGCCAAGCCAGAGGAGAAAGGCAGTCCTGGGAACGTGGAGGCAGAGCCCCCAGTGGCACAGCTTTCCAGACCTTTTGCGGGAAGCGAAATGAGACAGGCGCGTGGATTTTCCTTGAGTGAACTGTCTTTGCATGGGCCTGAATGCCAGACCCCCGAGTTCAACCACGTCCCGCACCAGGGTAACTCAGTGCCTGCCGACTGGAAAGAAATGTCTCTCTCTCTCACACACACACACAGTTCAGAAATTCAGGGCTTGATTCATGTGATCCTTTCAGCTTCTGCCCTTCCTAAGAGGGCCAGAGCAGCCCTGCGGATTCTTCCGTTCCCCGGCTCTGGATTCTGTGGGCCCACCAGACACGGCCACACCTTTCAGGCACATCCCCGCAACCATAAAAGACAGAACGACCGCAAACATCCTTAATTTGTCTAGCCCCGTGGCTTATCGGCATCTGGGAAACAAAGACCTCCTTCGGTCTGCATGTCTGTTCCAGAACAGCCGGGTGAGCATTTCAGCAGATGGGGTGGAGGTGGAAAGGCTGCCCCTAGAGACGGGGCCCCTTTCCAGTTGTGGGGCCCTCAGTCTGCCTGTGACAAGAGCTGGCCCAGCTCCCAGGCTTGGCTGACTGAGAGGGCAGCAGGAGGACTGGGGAGGGGCAGCAGCAGCAGCCCACCTCCCCTCAGTTCTCTGGCATGGGAAGGCCTGATGGGGGGTGGAGGGAACCCCTGCAGAATGGATGAGGGACCCAGAGAGGAAGGATCGGATCCAGGCAGGCCAAGACCGCCCCCGTGGGACGAGGGAAGCGGAAGGCAGGCTCTCTGCAGCTCCGGGCTCCGTGGAAAGCATGGCCCCAAATGCTGGGCCATATCTGGCACTCAGGGAAGGTGGATGGACAGAAGGAAAGGAAAAGGGAAAGGGAAAGGGAAAGGGAAAGGGAAAGGGAAAGGGAAAGGGAAAGGGAAAGGGAAAGGGAAAGGGAAAGGGAAAGGGAAAGGGAAAGGGAAAGGGAAAGGGAAAGGGAAAGGGAAAGGGAAAGGGAAAGGGAAAGGGAAAGGGAAAGGGAAAGGGAAAGGGAAAGGGAAAGGGAAAGGGAAAGGGAAAGGGAAAGGGAAAGGAAAAGGAAAAGGAAAAGGAAAAGGAAAAGGAAAAGGAAAAGGAAAGGGTGAGCACAGTTTGCCCATCGCTGTGCTGGCTACTCTGTGAGACGTTCTTAAAAGCCCCTGACTCTTTTTTCTGGAAAGCTCTGCTCTCCAAAACAAGCCTGCTCTCACAGCAGAAACCC